ATTGACCCTCTGAGGTTAAGGGAAATTTTTTAATTGGTAGAAAAGAGTTTAGACGTAATAATAACAAGGAGGGATATTAAATTTCCATTAAATTCGAGGGAAACAACGGAACCGATCTATCTAGAATTAATTGAAATGAGCATTTTTCGTAGACGTTCGTATAAAACTTTCCACCTTCTCAGCCGATAAAATAAATAGCTTTTAAAATTTAGAGGGTTCGACACGGAAAAAATTTCGTTGGCATTGTCGAATCCAAAATTCAAACGAAAAAGAATTGCCCTCTGAGGTTAAGGGAAATTTTTTAATTGGTAGAAAAGAGTTTAGACGTAATAATAACAAGGAGGGATATTAAATTTCCATTAAATTCGAGAGAAACAACGGAACCGATCTATCTAGAATTAAGCGAAATGAGCATTTTTCATAGACGTTCGTATAAAACTTTCCACCGTCTCAGTCGATAAAGTGAATAGCTTTTAAAATTTAGGGGGCTCGACACGAGCCAAGCGGAGAAAATTTCGTTGGCATCGTCGAATTCAAAATTCGAACGAAAACGAATCCCTAAGATTAAATTTTTTAATTGGCAAAAAAAAGAGTTTAGACTCTTAATAATTGTGATTAGTTTTCTACAAGGATGTTAAATTATTCCGTCTATTCCACGACGGTTTCCATTAAATTCGAGAGAAACAACAGAGTCCGTGTCGGTCTCTATAATCCGTGAAAACATAGTCCAACTATGAACAACGGGTAGCCAGGAACAATGCGAATCCGTTTAAATGGTAATTCGGATAGCTAGTTGGCACCTAAAGGCTGCGCGATATCGATGTTGTTTCCGTTACATCGTATTTGAACAAGGGAGAATCGGGTCTCTGCATAAATAAATCAATTTTTTTTTCTTTTTCGATGTTTCTTCCAACAATACCGATTGTTAATTACGTTTTTCCTGGAATTTTTTAAAAAATAATTTCATTTCATTTGGTCGAAGTAAATTTTTCGGTTGATATTTATTTAGTTTTTTTTTTATCGAAAGACATTCTTTATCGTTCCTTTATTTCGATTATTTTCTCGATATTAACACGCGTCATTATTATTAATACACGTTTTTTAATAAGTAACAAATTGGGAAAAAACCGTAATTCCATAAAGACATTGTCCTTTTTTATCGGCATTAATGGAAACCGGCCTCTTTAATTACAAACGTTTCAAACGTTGACGACTAGGAGAGGAGAATTTGAAGGAATAGAGGGCGTGGTTAACAACTTTGGCCGAACCGTGGCGCGACATCAAACGCGCGATGGTAAAGTATCAAAGAGTAGCAATTAAATTTTCTTTTTACCAGGGTCGAAAAACTGTAACTCGCGAGTTTCAAAGTTGAACGAAAGATGAATGTAAACGAATTATTCCCGAAAACGAACGATGAAACTGACGATGGAATTAGGCGGATCTAGTGCCTGTTCTAACAAGAACGTGTTATAAATTTTTCTCGACGATTCTTACTTTCGCGATGAAATACGTTGAATCGATAAACGTTCTTGCAAATGTTTCTGTTTTTCTTCCTACGCTGAAAGGTCCTGAGAGAATATCTCGCATTCAGCAAAATAATGGTAGTATTTATCATCCGTTCTTTAGGGACATCTTGCTTTTAAAGGGTAAAAATTTTCATTCCTCTTTTTTTTTTTCCCATCCCTTCCCTCGAAATGAATAAAAATGTCCGTTCCCCCAGAGAACGAAACATATATTTTTTTTTTCCTTATTTTTCTGATTTCTCTCATTTCACGTTTATTTATCGACGAGACGATCGAGAGATTTCGATAAAGAAGACGAGAGAGGCGTTATATTTTCGAGAAACTCGTGACTATATATATATATACACACACACATGCACACGGAATAAAAGTCCCATTGAAATAAAATCCTCACATGTCAAAAGCAGGGTATACTTGGAAGGATTTCTCTCTGGAAAGCATATTGCACGCGGAAAATGAGGCGAACGTTGGAAAAAACGGACGCTCCATCGCTAGTTACGATTTGGCCAAGTGAATGGCATCAGCGCTCGATGCTTCTCTGTCTCTTTCGCTCGCTTGTTATTTATACGGGAGGAAAGAATTTGTTCTGTCATCACGATACGCTTAGACATGTACGCTTAGATATTCGCGCGTGTACACGAGGATAATCAATCGTCGGATAGAAATTTTAGACGGGGTTAAAATTAATCGAGACACCGCCTCAGACGATGTAATTCAGACGTTGGAAATTAATAAATGTTGGAGAGCTAGCTCGTCGAGCTTCCAACAGTGTTGCCGAGTCTTCGCAAATGCAACAATACGGTTCACGGTAAGTAATGGAATTCTAACTGGTTAGAGATGCGTTCCACCGCCACGAAAGACGATTGTCTCTCGCATTTCGTAAAAGCTTTGGTAGACGTGTATAGATGTGTATCTCTCCAGGATACACGTTTTTAAAAGAAAATTGACGAATGGAATTTCTCTTTTACGATAGAATCATACGATTAAAATCAGGAGTATAAAAGAATCGCGGAGAGAGAAAAGTTTTTTCTTTAATTATTTCGCGTTCCTACTTGCTCTAACGGATAGGAAAATAAAAGTTGCTCGAAATTGACTCGTGAGACGAATTTCGATGGATTGAGGTCCGAAATCAAATCTATTCGGTATCTCGAATGAAAATTTGTTTATTGGGCGATTATATCGTCTCGATCGAAGGAGTTTAATCGGAGTAGGATGGAACGAATGACGTCTATGGATCCCGGAATGGATTAGAGTAATGCTATGTACGAGCAATGCGATTAAACTCTCCAAGTCCCCTTTTGTTACACGCATACGGGAAACGATCGCGTCGAATGGCGCATAGAGGAGAGAGTTGGCGCGATGGAATTAGAATGGGACAGTGGCCGTATTACGGTCATAATTGTGCCACTTTGATCACCACCACTTGCCCCCCTTTCCCCCTACATTCTATAAGATAATTCATCTCGTTAATCGCCCTTTCCGCCTACCTCTTGATCGATTAAAAGCGTTTCTCTCGTCAATTTTTCGAAAACAATTGTACAATGTTCCAATGCGTTAACGGTTTAATAAAATTAATACGCTTTCAATCATTTCTCCGTCGTCGATTCCTTAAATCCCTTTTCTCGAAGGGAGGGAAAGAGATCTTGTGTCAAAGCGCCTCTTCGAGGAAGGGATGACGACGACGATACTCGTCACGATTTTTTTTTTTTTTCTCCTTTTTCGAATCACGAAACTTTTCTCTGGAAATTTATTTTTTAATTAAGAATTTAATTAACGTTGTAATTCTAGGACGCATCTCGCTGAGGGTGAATTATTCGGGGCGTAATTGCGGAGAGTAAGGGCAGTATTTTCGCGTGCAAGACCTTCCCTGGCCCCTGGTTCGGGAAAGCCAAGTTTATCGTGATTCATTAAACGCGAGAATATGCGTTGCGCTTCGCAAAGTAAAAATTGCGTGGCGAGGAAATTGCACGAGAGGGGGGAGACGGAGGAGAGAGGGGGAAGACGAAGGGGAGGAGGGGGGAGAGGAAAACCGAGTCACGTTTTCTTCAGGAGATGTTGTAGCATGATAAACTGAAGAGAGAGAGAGAAAGAGAGAGAACTTTATTGGCAACTTAATCGGGTTGGTTGTTAATAGTTTTCGTTACAACTTCTCGAAAATTTCCGCAACTTTTAACGACGTTTCACCTTTTCCCAACCGTGTTTCTAAGCGGAACACAAACGAAGGGAATTGGATAAAACCTGTTAGCCCGAGTATTTTCTATTTTAACGCGGTCTACTACGAAGTAGTAGAATTTCGAATTGTCGCGTCTTTCGTCAATGCTTGAGCCGTTGAAATCCTTTGGAAAAGAAAAGAAAAAAAAAAAAAAAAAAANACAAAAAAAAAAAAAAAAAAAAAAAGAAAGAACACGGTTCCAGCTCGTATTCTTAAAAGTAAAAGCGATTAGCGATTAGCGATTGTACGGATCGCTCGAGATCGTCTCTCGATCTCGTTTAAAATCGCGATGATAATTTATATAAAAAAAGAAAAAAAAAATAATAATCAAGTCTTCTCGTTATTCGTCCGACACTTTCCCCTTAGTTAACTCGCCTCTCTGAATTAATTAATTTATGCGCGAGCGCGTAACTAACCGGTGTTCTTTGATTTATTTATACACGATATTTCGATTTGAATACAAATATTATGCGAATTAAACGCTCACCGAGCAAAATATAATTATAAATTTCATCGTTTCGTTCATAAATTAAAAATATCGACTGCGAGCTTTATA